TTCCCTGCTGAAACTAATAAAAGGGATCAGGGCCCTTTCCTCCCCCGTAAACCACATTGCTCCCTTCTCCGTTCCGCCCTGCGTGCCCTAGGATGAAGAGGGGGTGGCCCTGGGTCTTCCTCTGAATGCCCAGCCTGTGCCCTTCCCCCATTTCTTCCAAGCCATCGGATCCACACTCCCACTTTCTGTCAGCTGCTTGGCCTCCCCCTCAGAATCAGATTCCAACAAGGGCATGACAGCCAAACTGAGACAGAAGCTAAGCAAGCTTCAGCCTAGGGCCTCACAATTTCAAGGGGCCTTGAAAAAATTAAGAGGGCTTAATTATTTTTTTTTTGCCATTTTGTTATAAAATCACATGTAAAGGTTTCCATAAATTATGACTTTTGTCTGGCTCACATGATCCTTATTACCTAACATCAACCTTGTTTCAATGCAAATGAATCCCAGCTAGAGAAATGGTGCTTCCCTATTCCATCACGTGTATGTTATGAATATTGGCATGCTCAGGTGTTCCTCAATCTTCTTCTCTGTGAACACTTGCACAACCTACATTGTCAAGCCCCATCCCACAAAACGAAGCACAGAATGCGGTATTGCACACTCATTCTGCCAACTGTCAGCAGTTCGATCGTGACCAGCTCAAGGTTGACTCAGCCTTCCATCCTTCCGAATAAAATGAGGACCCAGATTGTTGGGGGCAAGAGGCTGACTCTGTAAACTGCTTAGAGAGGGCTGTAAAAGCACTGTGAAGTGGGATATAAGTGCTATTGTTATCCACCGCCCTCATGTCTACATCCAAGCCTGGATCTATCCAAATCTTTTTACACACTTGCAATTTCAGAGAAGTCAAGGTTTTATGCTGCTATCTTATTCTACTGCACCAAAAGGAGTAGGGTGTCAATGCTACTTTCTTTTTCCCCTTTCCCCTACACTTTTCTCTCTTTCCCTTTTCCTCTCTTATTTTCCCATTATCTTCAATTTTCTTTGCATTTCTGTAGTTTAAAACTAACAAAAACATTTGAATGGAGAGTTCAAACCTAGGTAGCAGTAGAGCAGTTTCTCTCCCAGAGCACAAAGAAAAAAAATATCTGCTGCTAACTCCGCTTGGTGTTAGGAAGGGCATCCAGCCAGTAAACACTCAATTCCATCTGCTTATCCCGACTCTATCCCAGATTAAAGGATTACAGGATCATAAAAAGGGCGGTTTTCTTTTTTTAAAATTTGGATCATCCTCCCTGGCTGGCTCCCTTTGCATTGCCAATTCTAAGATGCCACAAAGAGGCATAGGAAGATGTGGGTTTTCCATCCACAACACACCCAGAAAGTTGTACAAATCTACAACTACCAAGCTCACTTTCTCTCTCCCTGTTCTAAATGTCAAATGTCTTCCCCTTCACAGCTCCCTTTCCCAACACAACAATATACTCTTTGGTGCAAATTCAGGATAGACCTGTTTCTCTGTATTGTATTTCCACTGTGAATTATTGCCAAGGACAGAATGTAAGTTCATCCACCAGATAAAGGCACAAGATCAAATGGGATTTGGCTGGTGTAGACTGAAAGCCAAACAACACCTATTGTTGCCAGTGCGCCTTATACCCTTTGCCTAGGTTGCTGAACTGGACCTTGATCATGTTAATGTTTGTTTTTCTTGTGAATTCCTGGCTGAGTTTTCATTTTATGTGAGACCTAGGACAGGTCCTCAAAACAAACACAATAGGTTGAATCTCCAAAGCAGTTTTCTCCCCAACCCAAAAGTGAAGCTAGAACAATAAATGCCTTTGCAACACTGATTAAAATCCTACAGGTTTTGTTCTGCAAGATGGAGGTGAGATCATGTAACATCTTGCAAGTTCACAGACACATTCGCCGTTACCTTGAAGCAGAATACCACACTCTTGGGGGAGATTCTGGAGTCTGTAAAGATCTTGAAGCGTGCTGAAAATCTCATGAGTATTTCAGAAGTTGCTGTTTTCCTGTTGTTGTTTTAGCACCAGGGCATTGTCCAGGAGAACTCAAGGCCCATATCTAATAAAAAAAATAATACAGTAATTACATTTAGGTTGGGGAAAAAAAACTAGAAGCAGTTGCTGTTAGCTCTTATAGGATTCATGATGCAACCCGAACAACAGACATGCATAAGCACACAATCGTGCCTACCGTCCCTGTCCTATTGTCTCCAATTATTCATACCTGTTGCATGTATTTATACTTATGCTTATTCTTATTTCTATTATATTGTAAGCATTTGACAAATAAAATAAAATCAAATAAATAAATAAACAGACAGCATGGTCCTTGTGAGATCTAATTGTTCATGGAGACATGTCTAGGTTTTGCAAACCAAACACCTGCACAACAACCCCTTCCCATCACATTCAATGCTTTTCACATCTTTTCATCTGGACTACTTCCCAGATAGTTGGATTGCAAGTAAGGATGCAGAAGAAAAGTCACTTGTTTTTCCCAGCACAAAATTGCTTTCATAAGATCACCAAATGATAGCAATAGAGGAGAATATCCGCAGCTCAGGGTTGAACTGTGGGGTCCTTGGTGTTCTCTGAGCTTGGTTGTTTGCTTGCAGACGTTGCATTACCTAAACTAGGTAACATCATCAGTGCTAGAGGGGAATGGGGTTTACTCTCAGTTTATATTCCAGTGGCTTGCCAACAGTAAAGAACCCAACCAAAGAATCTCTAAGACCACTCCCACCAATACTGGGCAATCCACATGCAGAAGTTTTAATAAATCTGCTGGCAATGAATTGCGCTTTAAAAGTGGCCCATGGGATTTTTATTTCTCTCTTAAAGGTGGAGGAGACAGAGACCCAAGGGGATTCATTGCCAGGCAATGAAGAAATCAGTTTATTATTGTCGTAAGAAAATTCCAATAGGAAACAAAGACAACAACACAAGCAATAATTCTTACGTTAAGATCAGAGATTTACTGTTTCGAATAATTTGAAACATAAGAAATGAATAAGTAGGGAGAAAAAAACCTCTCTTGCAGGTTTCTCAGAACTGCATAAGCAATTAACTAACGGTTCGGGCGAACCGGTGAGAACCGGCTGAATCCCAGTTGTGCTTATGACCATTTCCCACGCGTAATCCCTGTGGTCATGTGATCAAAACTGGCATGTGTTTATGACAGATGCTGGTCCTGTCATTTTCATTCAGATCCTTGCCAGCTGGTTCATATTTATGACGGAGTCCCAAGATCACGTGATTCCCCTTTTGCGACCTCCTGACAAGCGAAGTCCACAGGGAAACCAGATTCACTTAACAACCAGATGACTAACTTATGAACCGCTGTAATTCACTTAACAATGGCAGTGGTTCACTTAACCACCGCGACAAGAAAAGTCATCCAACGGGGCAAAACTCAATAGCTGTCTTGCTTAGCAAGAGGAATTCTGGGCTCCGTTGTGGTCACAAGTTGAGGACTACCCTGTATTGAAAGAGTTTTACCTGTGATGGAAGATAAGCAGGGGTGGGATTCAAATTTCTTAACAACCAGTTCTGTGAGTGTGGCCTAATTTGTGGGTTTGGCTTGGTGATCATGTGACTGGCTGGGTGTGGCTTGTATGTAAATATTATAAATATTTATGTAAATATTGGATTTTTTTATAAAAAAAGAGCAACTTTTACCGAAGATCAGACAAAGCAGGCAGGCAGATTGAGTTGCTCACAGAATCACAGATTCATTTAGAGATTTATGATTCTGCAATCGGCTACCTGAGTGTGCACTGAAAAACAGAAACTTCAGTCTTAGAAGGCTCAGTTCTGCTTTTAAATTAGCTAAAAAGCAAGAAATCCAATGATTTCCTGCTTTCTAGCTAATCTAAATCTCCTGGCACAGCAGAACAGCTGATGGTCGGGGAAAATAAAGGGAAAATAGCAACTTACCAAACATAGGTAAGTTTGATGGCGTGCATACCAGGTAAGGAGTGAGTGGGTGGGGGATGGAAGGGGCAGGCCAGCCAGTGGTGCAATTTGCCGGTTCTCCGAACTGGGTAGAATTATAACAACCGGTTCTATAGAACCAGTCCGACCAGGTAGAATCCCACCTCTGAAGAGAAGGTGGATAAACAATAAAAGTGGCTCGGGATGATGATGATGATGAAGATGATGATGATGAAAACTGAATAATATGGGAATTATTCTATCGATGGTTAGAGGAGAAAAATGGAAGTTAGAAATAAAAGGAGACAAGTGAATGCTAGAAAATACGTTAAGATAGAGATGTAAACAATATGATGATTGTAATTGATATGATGATTAAGCTCACCCTGTTTAATATTATCACTATATTTTTACTAGAAGATAGGTTAAGAGGGAGGAATGGAAAGTTTTACTATTTGCAATATGACGGTTGTGAGATTAGAAAGTCAATATCAAAGTAATGTATATTGTTGTAAATGTTGATGGTTACTGCACAGAAATACTTGTAATCAGATGACACTTTGTTGAATGGAAGTTGGAATGTTTATATGGAAATAAAAAAATTTAAAAAATGACACTGGGCAGGTACTATGCTGTGACTGTGTCTCTAGCTTTTATAGAGAATGGCAACACTTGAACTTTAAAGATCTGCACCCTGAGCAAATATCGTGCAACTGAGTAACTGAATATTTTGTTTCAAACTTTTCCACCCTGAGATTAGGGGGAGGCTCTCCCTCGTTATATACATATATCACCTTACACCATAACAGAGTTGGTTTACTTTTCACTTTTTTAAAATGATCCCAGTGTTGTGGTTGGTAACCAAGGCTTATTCTTTAGTTAAGGTGTTCACATCGAATAACTGTTGCTTGCATTTGTCTCTGTGTTTGCATCTCCTCCTTTTTGTCCCCAATTCCCTGTTTATCTTTTGTGGCAACTTTTAAAAGGGTGCATGGAAAGTAGGGAGGTCTCAGATACTATTGCTCAGTCAGGAAATTTGCAAGCCTGTAGGAGGAACCCTGAAATGTCCAAAGGTCACCCATTTATTAAATCCAGGCGTTGCACCAACTTAATTGGTTATCTCTTCCTCTTCACTGTACCATGAGCATTATATAAGATTAGGTGTTTGCAAATACTTGGAACCGTGAGAGAGAGGGACAAGTAGTTTGTAAAGGTGTGGATTCCCGAGTTGTTCTAGATTGGCTGGCTAGCAAGGAAATATGGAAGGGCTGAATCTATGCAGTGTCCTGGTGACAGGATCTAATCGGGGCATTGGTCTGGAGATGATCAAACAATTGGCCAAGAAAAGCAAACCACCACAATGGATCTTTGCAACGTGCCGGGATCCAGAGGGACCACGTAGCCAGGTATGTCTTAGGGTGAGGTCAGTTATGAGAGAGAAGTTGACTCACAATCTTTAACAATTGTTTAACATTGAAATCAGAGCCGCAGGCAGGAAGCCAAATACTTGCATAACTCTTGGGAGTCACGTTTTCACACACGAGATTTATTGCCTTTAATCCAAAGTATTGATCCAGCCAATTAGTTCCAAGATTAAGTTTGCCTTTGGATGCCTCGAGGGGTGCTAGAAAATTGGAAATGAATATCAGATATTAGACTTTATCTTCCGTATTGACAATGTAAGAAATTTGATTCATAGCATTTGATCATGTTCCCATAAAGATCTTGTGTGTGTGTGTGTGTGTATCTCTGTTTTAAATTTAATAAATATGAATAGTTTAATAGATTATATAACTTTGGGGGGAAACATAGTTGTTCAACATTGACTGTTCCCCACTGGCCTATGACCATAATGAAGATTTGGTGATAGTTACTAAAGATGGAAATGTGATGACAAATACAGTTTTTTAAAAAAGGGGGGTTGTCATTTGATGACAAACGGCTCCATTGAAGACCTTGAGATACCTAAGGGAATCATTCTTCCTTACTGAAAACAAAGCCCACACATCAAAGAATAAGATTCAGGAGCTGTGTTTGCTGTGATTTTTAAATTATCTTCATATTGTAGAAATAAGATGGAACAGGCTATATCTATGTGGTGCAAACTCAGGATTTGACTAAAATATCTTTCCTTCTTAAGAGCCATTAGGAATTCTCCTCTCCCACAATTATGTATACTTTTTAAATGCATCTTCACTTTATTTTGTTTTTAATTTCTCTCCTGCTTCATCCTCCATCGGTCCACCATTCCACTGACTCGTTAGCCAAACTGTTTTTTGAACATGGGTTTACCTGTGTTTCAGAAGCTCGATAAAGTGCCTTTCAGAAGGCCACTATAGAGTAATGTCTTATTCAGGGTAGATGAGAAAAGTGGCCAAACTCTTTCCAAAAGACCGGTAAACCCAGTGCTCCATGGCAGGGGTCTCCAACCTTGGCAACTTTAAGACTTGTGGACTTGCTAAGGTTGGAGACCCTGACTCTCTAGGGCTTCTTCAAAAGAGTGAGGCTTGGCCCACACTTCCAAAGTGTCAGCCGGGTATGATGTGGACATTCCCTTCTGCAAAAGCCAAGATTTCGATTTCTCCTGCAATCCAAAATAAAATGGAAATACAGACTGCAGCATTTAAGAAGGGTACAATAGGAAGCGGGCAAATCCTTGCTCAGGGCTGTGTCATCTCCATCATCATCGTTCATGAGGTGTTGCAGATTGTTAATATGGCAAAAAACCTTCCTTGGGAAAAAGAAAAGAAAAAACGCTACTTCAGAACTGAGACAGCTCAAATTGAGAGGGTTTCTGCAGCGAGCCAAGGATGAGCAAAGCGCAGCATTTAAAAAATAGTTTGAGAGATGTCTGAATGCAGAGGTGGTATTCATCCGGTTCTAACCAGTTCTGGAGAACCGGTAGCGGAAATTTGGAGTAGTTCAGAGAACCGGCAAATATCACCTCTCTGCCTCCTGAGTCCCAGCTGATCAGCTGGGTCTTCTTGGGTTGCCCTGCACAGGAGAACGGAGCTGGAAAGCAGGTTAGTGGGGTGGGGAGGGAATGGGATTTTGCAGTAACCTTCCCCTGCCATGCCCACCAAGCCATGCCCACAGAACCGGTAGTCAATTTTTTTGAATCCCACCACTGTCTGAATGCCAAGGGTAGTGAGATGTAGAAATCAGCCCATCAGCTGGGAGGTGTTTCCTAAATCTCTGGTTTTCCTATCTTTCAGGATTTGAGGAATTTGGCTGCTCAGCACCAGGAAATTGTGATCATCCCACTGAGTAAGTGACTGACCCTGACGATATCCAGGGAAAGACGCCAGTACCCTATCACTATCCATGCAAACTTCATTTCCGCCATTGAGTTCAATTTCCAGAGAAGGATTCGGATCATTTGTTGAACTAGTAGCAATGAAATATTTAACCCTGGAAACTGATATAATATGTCTCTTACTATACAGGTAGTCCTCGACTTATAACTTCCTTATATACTCCTCGGCTTACAGCAGTTCATTTAGTGACTGTTCAAAATTACAATGGCTGTCAACTCATAAAACATTTTGTATATACATTTTATAGTTGACAACAGAAAGAAGGGGGGGGAGTTTCAAAGAGCAGGCGGCAGTGTGGAATTGAAAGTACATTCCATTCATATTTTCTTCAAACACTGATTAGATGACTGAAGCTTCTGCCAGTGCAAAAATCTAGTTGGAGAGCATGATTGATGACTCTTGGCTATGATTGATGACTCTTGGCTATACACCCAGAGGGGTGGCGGGGAAAGCAGAATCAAGGGTGACAGCGAATTACGTATCTTGGTCTTGGCTACGCCCAGGTAAATGCCGGACGTAGAATGTTACCTTCAAGTAAATCTTCTTTAGTTTTGGGAGTGTGGCTCAAGGCTCATGATTTAATTGGAGTAACTGCCAGAATCCTGACAACGGCACTGAAAAAAGTGAATTATGACCATTTTTTCACACTTACAACCATTAGTCAATGGGGAAGCCAGATTCACTTAACAACTGTGTGACTAATACAGCAGCTGTGGTGATTCGCTTAACAACAGTTGCAAGAAAGGTCCCCAAAATAGGGCAAAACTCACTTATGAAATGTCAGCAGCAGAAAGCTTCAGCTGTCAATCAAGGCATCACCTGGACCTTCTCCTTGTTCCCATAGACATTACCGATCCATCCAGTATCGAGGCGGCTGTAGCGATGGTCACGGAGCGGCTGAATGGAACTGGGCTGAACCTGCTGATCAACAACGCAGCAATTGCCTCCCATGATACCAAACTCATCTCTCAAACACCTGAAGACATGGCCGAGGTCTACAAAACCAACGTCATTGGGCCCATGTTGATTAGCCAGGTAGTCATGAGCTACGGTGGCACAGTGGTTAGAGTGAGGTACTGCAGGCTACTTCTGTTGCCTGCAGGCTGCCTGCAATTGGGCAGTTCAAATCCCACCAGGCTCAAGGTTGACTCGTCCTTCCATCCTTCCGAGGTGGGTAAAATGAGGTCCCAGATTGTTGGGGGCAAGAGGCTGACTCTGCAAACCACTTAGAGAGGGCTGGAAAGTACTGTGAAGCGGTATATAAATCTAAGGGCTATTGCTAGGGCTAGTGGAAGCACCTCTGTGTGCTCCTCCTCCTCCTCTTTTCCTCTTCAAACCATTTCTTCCTACTGCCGATGTTCAGAAACAGAATATCACTGATCGACAGGGCTTTCTGGGGTGGTGGTGGTAGAAGAGAATAACAGTGTGCCTTTTCCAGCCAAAGAAGGTACAGGGCCAAATATTAAGAGGAAGAACTTCCAAAGATACAGCTTTTAAGCGTGGGGAGTTGCCGTTACTAAAACCATCAAATGAAAATTTAAAAAAACCCCAGATCTTTCCTGAGTAATTGTTGGACTCTGGTTTGTTTTTAGACCATAGATTTTGCAATGGGAGGAGATGGCCATCGATTTCCTAGGGTGAATCCTTAGTTCTGCAGATAGAGCACTAGCCATGGCGCTTATGACTTAGACCAGGGGTGTCAAACTCGATTTCATTGAGGTGTTTGATCTCGGGGTGGGGTGGGGGCAGGGTCCAAGGTGGGCATGGCCAGCTCGATGTCACTTGTGTCAGGGGTGGCCCGAGTGCTGTGGCTGAGAAAACGGGCTCCCGAGTTCCATTTTCAGCTGCAATGTCCTCCTGCAACTCTGTCAGTGAAAATGGAACTTGGGAGAATCACGTTGGACCTCTGTTTTCACTGGCAGAGGCATCGTGGGCCGTAGCTTTGCCGTTTCCAGGGCGGTCCCGTGGGCCAGTCCTAAGCACCCCTTGGGCTGGATCCGTCCCGTGGGCCTTGAGTTTGACACCCCTGACTTGATCATGATTTATCCCTTATTGCTTGTACGTACACTGAGAGCTTTATGCACCAGAGACAAATTCCTTGTGTGTCCAATCACACTTGGCCAATAAGGAATTCTATTCTATTCTGAGACTTCTATACCAGTGGTGGGATTCAAATATTTTCAGCACCGGTTTCAGTGGGTGTGACTTGGTGGGCGCGTGAGCATGCCAAACGCGCACTTTGCACAGGCACAGAGGCATTCCAACTCACCTCCTGCAAGCCTGCACAATCCCGGTCGCTTCAGCAGCTGCCACGCAACACTCTTCTGTGCTGTGCAAAGCAGCTGCACTTCAAATTCAGCGGATAAAGGTGAGTATGGCAGTCCGGGTGGGCAGGTGGGCCCAACAGCAGAGCGATGAAGAGAACCGGTTTGGTCTCCGCTACTCATCGCTGCTACCGGCTCTGCAGAACCGGGCTGAACCGGTAGAATACCATCACTGTTCTATACCGCTTCAGGGTGCTTTTACATCCCTCTCTATTGCCCCCAACAATCTGGGTCCTCATTTTACAACCTCAGAAGGATGGAAGGCTGAGTCCACCTGGATACTGCAAAATGACAATCCCTAATGCTGATAGATGCTGGGAATGGATATTTAGCAACAATTCAGGGGTCCCTGGCTTCCAAGCCTATGAATAAGCCCTAAGTTCTGTCTTGTTTTTTCTAGGCATTTCTGCCTTTGCTGAGGAAAGCATCTCAGGACAGTCCCACAAAAGGTATGAGCTGCAGCAAAGCCTGCATTGTCAACATGTCCAGTTATGCAGGCTCCATCACGGACGTTTACCTGTGGGAGTACGGGCAGGTTCTTCCTTACCGTTGTAGCAAGGTAGTAAATACACATTGGTGCAAGGCGTGGAAAATAATTAAAATAACTCTGTACAGGTAAACCCTCAGTTACTGACCAGCAAGTTGAGACCAGCAACTCGGTTGTTAAGCGAAGCAGTTGCTAAGTTAAAACCGTGACCAGGTCTGTGATTTTAGTTCGGCTCTCCTTAGTTTTACAGGCCACAAGGGTTCATCAATGCAAAGGTTGGTGATGAAGTTACTTTTCATTCACCGACATCACTGAATGGTCCATAAATGAGGATTACCTGTACTTTAGGGTACTGATCCTGTTTTTAGAAATGGCGTTTATGGGGTAAATTATGCATTAGCATATATTGGCAAACATAAAAGAATTCAGAGGTATGTTATTGAATCCTGACGAAGCCAACATTCGTTTTCAAAGAAGCATCAAAAAGAGAATCCAGGGATTATTATGTTAATGTAATACCTGTCACTTTCCTGTCTCATGTTCCATTTATTTGTGGAATCTCTCTCCTCTCCTCATTTCTTTTTTTTTCTTCCTTTCCTTTCCTTCCCTTTCCCTTCCCTTCCCTTCCCTTTCCCTTTCCTTTCCCTTTCCTTTCCTTTCCTTTCCTTTCCTTTCCTTTCCTTTCCTTTCCTTTCCTTCCCTTCCCTTCCCTTCCCTTCCCTTCCCTTCCCTTCCCTTCCCTTCCCTTCCCTTTCCTTTTCCTTCCCTTTCCCTTCCCTTCCCTTCCCTTCCCTGTCCTGCCCTGCCCTCTATCCAAAATCAAACTCCCATCTGACATGGAATAAAATACAAAGATTTTTCTGGCATTCAAATGATTTTAAAAAATGCATTTTTCTCTTGCTCATGGAGTCTGCTTGATGCAATTCCCTGCTCCTGGCACATCTCTGTTCTAGGCTGCTCTGAATATGCTGACACGGTGCCAATCATTGGCATTTAGCAATGATGAAATTCTGTGCGTCTCACTGCATCCAGGATGGGTCCTCACAGACATGGGAGGCAACATGGTAGGTTTTTTTGGTTGTTCTGGAAACTCATTCCTACCTTTGGAGGGGGATATTTGGGGCTGATGACCAACCATGACCCAGAGCATATCATATAAATTGGCCCAAATCCAAAAGAGAAGTACCATAAGCCTGTTTAATTCATTTATAAGTTTTCACTTGGGTGGAACTGTAGCTGGACCTCCTGAAAAATTTAGAAGAAGTGAAGGAAAGTTGTTCCAATATTTGAGGGGCTGCCACAGAGAGGAAGGGGTAGACAAGGAACAATGGATGGAAACTGAACAAGGAGAAATTCAACCTGAAAATAAGGAGATAAACTTTCTGACAGTGAGAACAATCAACCAATGGAACAGAAGTTGCCCTCGGAAGTTGTGGGAGCGCCATCGCTTGAGACTTTCAAGAAGAGATTGGACTGCCATTTGTCAGAAATGGTGTAGGATCTCCCGCTTGGGCAGAGGGTTGGACTAGATGACCTACAAGATCCCTTCCAACTCTGATTATCTGTTATCTGTTTGCCTCCAGCACTGAACAATTTGGTGGTGATTTGCTTGGGCATGGACACTGTTTTTGTGGGTGACAGCTGCCGAAGACCCATTGCCCATAGATTGGAGTTTAATTTCCCTTCATGCTTCATATCACATCCTAGTTTGCAGGTGTTCAGAATGGGACAAAGCTGAACATTTGAAGTTCTAAAAACTCCAATATTAAAGCTCCTGCTTTGGCTTCCCCATCAGATGTCCAATCTCACCTGGTATCTCCATCCGATGCTCAAATATAGAAAGAGGGATTATTCTTTATACAGGTAGCTCTGAACTTACGAACACAATTGAGCTCAACATTTATGTTGCTAAGTGAGAAATTTGTTAAGTGAGTTTCACCCCATTTTACGACTTTCCATGCCACCATTGTTAAGTGAATCACCGAAGTTCTTAAATTAGTAACACGGTGATTAAATTATTCTGGTTTACCCCCATGGACTTTGCTGGTGAGAAGGAGTGCAGTTTGCGGTCAGTTTTTATTCTGGTGTCTTGCCTGTCTGTGTGGATGAGGGCAGCCTTAGAGGTTCTTTGGTTGGGCTGTTTACTGATGGCTCTTTGGCAGTTTCCTGATTGGGGTATTGCTTTTACTTGATTGTTGGTCTGGAGTTGACCTTGGAGTCAATCTATGCTGATCTGAGTGGTGGGAAAAATGGGACAATCCTAGACCAGGTCAAATTCCAAAGTGCCAGGGAATTTCTAGAAGCCTGGCACTCTGATAAATCAGCCATCAATAGACACATAGACACATTGACAACAAAAGAGACCACCAACCAGCCCCAAAGAGAAAAACACTACAGCACTTCTTCTCCGCCAGTAATCAGCTCTCAGATGAACTTCAAGATTAATTTCAGACTAAGTAAGCAATACCCCAGTCAGGAAACTACCAAAGAGCCATTAATAAATGGTCCAACCAAAGAATCTCTCAGACTGCTCCCACCCACACGGACAGGCAAGACACCAGAATACTTCTTCAGCCTCAATCACAATAATACACGGGCAAACGATCGATACAAACTCAAGGAAAACCGCTTCAAACTCAATTGCAGAAAATACGACTTTAGCAACAGACTGGTCAACACCTGGAATCAGGGGTGGGATGCTACCTGGTCGGACCAGTTCTATAGAACCGGTTTTTACGATTCTGTGCAGTTCGGAGAACTGGCAAATCACGCCACTGGCTGGCCCCTCCCCTCTCCGTCCACTCACTCCTTACCTGGCATGCACACCATCAAACTTACCTGCGTTTGGTAAGTTGCTATTTTTCCTCCCCCCCCCCGCCATCAACTGTTCTGCTGTGCCAGGAGATTTAGATTAGCTAGAAAGCAGGAAATCGTTGGATTTCTTGCTTCCTAGCTAATCTAAAAGCAGAGTTGAACTTTCCTTAGGATTGAAGCTTCTATTTTTCAGTGCAGACTCAGGTAGCCGATTGCAGAAACATAGATCTCTGAGTGAATCTGTGATTCTGCAAGCAACTCAATTTGCCTGCCTGCTTTGCCTGATTTTGGCTAAAAGTTGCTCTTTTTTTAATAAAAAATCCAATATTTACATAAATATTTATAATATTTACATACAAGCCACACCCAGACAGTCACATGACTACACCCACAAATTAGGCCACGCCCACAGAACCGGTTGTTAAGAAATTTGAATCCCACCCCTGCCTGGAATGCTCTACCTGCCTTCATTGTTACAGCCTCAAACCCTCACAGCTTCAACCTCAACCTCCACCGTGGACCTCACCCTATTCCTAAGAAGTCCTTAAAGGGGGCATGCACCAGCGCACCAGCATGCCTACCGTCCCTCTCTTACTCTCCCCATGTATCTGTAGTTACTCCCTTTGTTCATGTTTATGTTCATACTTATACCTGCTAACTTGTACATGTTTGACAAACAAACAAACAAACAAACAAATAAAACAGAGAGCACCTAGAAGGGCTTAGTTGTGGATAATGAGAAATGTTCTTAAAGAGGCCACCTGTCTCATTTTGTTTTTACTCAGTGTAAATATTATTCTCGTTTCTCTAGGCTCCAATAACAGCGGATTCAAGTGTAGCAGCCATGCTAAAACTTTTGGCTCATCTTTGTGAGAAGGACAATGGCACTTTTCTGAGCTGGGAAGGGAAAATCCTTCCATGGTGAACAACAACAGGCTTCTTGTTTGAGGAACAGGACAAACTTCTCACTTGGGCCAATGTGAATATTTATCTGGTGTTATTTGTTGATTAAATGGACTTTTGTCCCCAAATTGTTATGGCTGGTTCCTCTTCTTTTTTAGCTGCCCTGGAGGCTAAAGTCATGAGACTGGACTGGAATCATCTCATCTGTATTAATCATTTCAACTGGAATAGCACAAGGCCATTGAATCAATCCAGATTGCAAAAAGAAAAGGCACAAACCACATTGGTGAAATAGGCCAGGATCAGAGGTGGCATTCAGTAGGTTCTGACCAGTTCTGGAGAACCAGAAGCAGAAATGTTGAGTAGTTCTGAGAACCAGCAAACCCCACCTCTGACTGGCCTCACCCCCATCTATTCTCTGCCTCCCATTGAGTCCCAGCTGATTGGCTGGGTCTTCTTTTGTTGCCCTGCACAGGAGAACAGAGCTGGAAAGCAGGTTAGTGGGGTGGGGAGGGAATGGGGATTTTGCAGTATCGTTCCCCTGCCATGCCCACCAAGCCACACCCACCAAGGCACGTCCATCAATCCACACCCACAGAACCAGTAGTAAAAAAAATTGAATCCCACCACTGGCCAGGATACTGAGGGGAAGTTTGTCAGAAGCAGATGTAGACACTCGGTTGCAGATGCAATTGTTAACAACCAAAGTAGAAATGCAACAATCGGGCATGCTAATTGTTTATTGGTTGTAAACCTTTTAAGCATGCTTCTCACAATGCTATTGTACATTGTCGTTAATATTCAGGATACAGCTGCTTTCAAACCCAGCCGTCATAATTATCTGGATGAGAACAATGGGACTTATTACCCCAAGGATGTCAGGTCACATTCTTTTCCCCCAAGGTCCTTTGTGTAATGCAGGGCTACCATTGGGCCCCCCATTTCTGTTGCTAAGTGAGACAGTTGTTAAGTGGGTTTTTGTCCCATGTTACCACCTTCCTTGCCACCGTTGTTAAGAGAAGCACGGCAGTTACGTTAGTAACATGGATTGTAACGTAAATCTGGCTTCCCCATTGAGTTGGCTTGCCAGAAGGTCATAGAAGGTGATCACAGGACCTACAACTATCCTTCATATGAGTCAGTTGCCCAGGGTCTGAATGTTGATCATGTGACCATGTTAATCGAGGTCTACCTGTAATTCATTCTTTTCCATGAAATGTACTTATGATTATTGTTAATCTTTTGGGCAGGACAAGGACTTTAGAAGCTTCAGGTCCAGCGGCCTTTTTGGAAGGGGTGGGGGAAGGCTTTATTTGTAGTTATGTAATGTGTTCTTTCACACAGATATTCCCTTAACAAATTATAGCTTGAGCCAGAAAGGTTTTATGTTTCTAAAAGCTCTTTCAGTGAAAGAAGAAAATAAACCATCACTTATATGTTTCAGAATATACAAAACTGGCAGCCGTCCTAAGAAAGGGAGGATAACATAATGCCAGGTGAAGGATATTAATCGAAAATGCATGGAGATTTGTTTAATCCAAAGCACACCAGCTTGGTGTAAGAAAAAAACAAAACATTTAGAAAAACAGCATCTGGAAAATATACCAGAGAGACATTCAAAAGGCAGAGCCTGTCTTTTGTTTGAACCAGATGTCAGAGTGCTGGCTTAAATCATTTTGGGTAATAGCCTTAGGATGTGTTGCCTGTCTTTAATGCTAGTTATGAAACAATTCTGATTTTTTTTCTGCGCTGCTTGCCAGAAGTTGAGCTTATGTAATGACAAAGTGAAATATAAATTGTCACATTTTTGGTATTACTGCCAAAAAACTCTGAGATGGGCATGCCGTATTCATTGTGTTTAGGCCTCTGGGCACATTTGGAAATTTATGAGCACATTATAAATTAGATTGATCATATCCGGGCTGCAAAAATCTAGACAACCACCGGTTGGCAGCAAAAAGATTCTGAAGCATTCCCTCTGTTGCCCTCTAGTGGTCATATAGCCCTTTATAGACCAGGTATGATCAACTTACATACAGCATGTGCTTTTCCAAAGTCAATAGTATATAGATAGCTTTCCTCCTCACAAAATGTTTCACCTTTTTGGCGAGACTAATTCAGAACTGCTACTCAGGTGAAGCAAGGAGCTTGGCGGGAGGAGTCCATAAGCACATTCATGTTCAAAACTGCCAAGATCTAAACTTACATACCAAGTTGTTGACATCTAAGTACACTTAAAGAAACTTCTCTAATTAGATGTATTAACGGAGGAACAAAAGATTACACAAACCTCAACAAGCTTTAAGATCCAATTTAACTCTTAGTTTACAAGGCTGGATCTTTCTTCATTCGTCTGGTTGCAATAATTTGAGGAGATGGTTACCTGTGATGTCAATAAGCATCTAAACTACCTTGGCAGCTTGACCTCTTAGTCTTGCTGGCTGGGGAATTCTGGGGCCGAAGTTGAGCAACACTGCTTTTGAAGACCAATACATACTGTCTCCTTATTCAATGTGACTCCCCCGCCCTCCGTAGAAGAAATATGTTTATGGACTATTTACTTTATAGACACTGACCTGAATGGCTTGCTAGAAGTTCTCTTCTCTCTCGCTATCACATTATCCACTGAAATTCGGATTCTTGCTGGTTGTCAGGCTTAAATCTAAGAATGACATGTGGCAATTCTTCCAAACTGAGTTTTTTATTGTTTCATACCTATAGGGAAAAGAAAAATCTTGTCAGACTGAGGACTCAACTGTGTAAGTCTGCATACAGGGGTCTTCAAACTTGAGAGCTTTAAGACTCCAGTCATGTTAGCTCAGGAATTCTGGGAGTTGAAGTCCACAAGTCTTAAACTTGCCAAGGTTGAAGACCCCTGGTGTACAATATACTCTATGAACTATTAAGGAGGCTCTGTCTTCACCCTCTTTCTCTCACAGATAATATCTGTCCCTTCTTAACTCCTCTCCATTGCACAGCACTCCCTCCATGAGATCTGCCTCTTCATCACATCCCACCAGACTAGGTCTAATACAGGGGTGTCAAACTCATGTCATCATGGCTGCATCACATGATGTATCGGGACTTTCCCCCACCTTTTCTAAACTGGGTGTGGGTGTGGCCAGCGCATGAAGCATCCTTACCATGGGCTGGGAGTTTGGCAGCCCTGCTCTAATAAGTCCATCTTAGACTGTTTCAAAATAATTCTGAAAATAGATTCTAACTGGTATTTTTGGACAATTTTATTTCTGCAGGGGGGGGGGACAAACATTGTTAAATAGGTGAACTGTTTATCCGACTTTATGTAAAGAATCCATTTTAGACAAGAGAGATGAAAGACAGATCATGCTTTTGATAATGTTATTTTTTTCCTAGAAAGTATGATTTAGGCTAAAATTGCTAAAATTTAGACATTCAAAAGTTTACGACAAGCAGCCAAATTAATTGTAGTCCCCATAGCATTGTGTTTAGGACATTGTCTTTTATTATAATCAAAATGTAATTTTAATTCTGTGCACTTAGAATTGACAATGTATAAATATTATATAGAAAGAAAGAATGAATAGATTGAATACTGAGAAGTCAAAATCAATTGTGGGCAACCCAAAGTGGGTTTTTTTCCCCTGAGTTCCCTCTTTAAGAAGTTGGAGATCCAAGAGTTTGTGTTGGTTTAGCAACTGGTTGGAAGCAGCAATTCCCTGAATGAAGTAAAAAAAATGTGAAGGCCTACCACTGCAACAACCCATGGTTTGAATGTCTAAATCCTTTTCTACACACAGAGCAGGCAACTTTCCCTCCCCAGTTGCACTGATTTTTCAGGTTGGGAGGCAGACAAACAGATCAATAGACATTCAACATTAAGAAAGCATACACCCTATTATTTATTGTGAACCAAGAAGCATCTTATTTCATTAAACCTGAATCCTACAATGCAGCCTGTTATGGAGAAAGCAAGGTAAATATCTCATCCATGGTTTCATTCCCTGAGGTTTTCAAACGAGATCTGGTTTGTTTGTTTAAATGGATTTACCAACTTGTTTATAAGCTTTTTTTTTTTTTCAGGGCGGGAAGCGAAGCAAATATCCTTTAGAGGAGTAAACATTCACCATTGAAAATGCCAAAAATGAATCCCTCCCCACACACTTAACGCAGTAGAATATGACCTGAGCCTTTGGGTGATGGCCAATCATCTTTTTTTTCCCCCTTCTCTTGTCCAAAGAACCAAAGACTGGAGCCAAGTTAACTTATATAACTGGCGTGGAGAGATTGGGGTCCAGCTAGGACTCAATGAGATTGAACTGGGTTGAGCACAATGTGGTTTGTTAGGGTCTAAGCTAGTGTAAGGGTAATAAATAAAGAAATAAAATATATTATAGCATTAAGTAGAGAGTTACTCTATAGGCATTTCTTATCTTGCTGTTGTGGAAAATATTTCTCTAACCTTTCACGTGTTGTAAACCTAGTAATAACAAATGCAATCAGTTACACCCCTCTCCTATTGAGAGACATGATTACCGCCATCTAAATCAATCTGAATCCCTCTGGTTTATGTTTCACACCCCTGAGAATGAAACGTACTTCTATGGGCATGCAAACTCCTCCATCTGGAGATATCCACACTTTTGAATTATGCTGTTAATAGCCCTCTTAAGTGATCAATTAGCAGGAAAATAGGAGAAGGGATAATGAAAGATAAACAAAACCAGAAGGGCATTTGTCTTTTGCAAGAAAGATGTAAATCTAAGTTAGAGTGTTTACAATGCAGTTACTCTACTTGTAAGGATTTTAAAAGTATAAGAAGACTCTACTTGCTGTATATGTTTTGTAACTTTCCTCACATATCTATCTTGTGTGTATGTGGGGAGAGGTCTTACTCTTTTATTGATCAATAACCAACTCCATACAGGGTCCCAGCTTCTCATTTCATTTTCCTGCAAGGATTTGATGGATTTTGTTGTTTTTAGAGCTTTTGTTCAGGGCAGAAAACGTAGATAAGATATTATTTCAATAAAAATATTCCCACTGAACTTAGCAAAAGAGAAACAAATAGCTGGTTAGAATTGGGAAAAAAGAAAGGAAGGAATTTGCTGTGCTGTAAGATTGGACAAAAACCCATTTCCTAATTTCTTTCAGACAAAATGTTTGCAAATGTTGTAACCTGAACGGAGTGACCAGGAATGAACTGACACGTGAGGCCATAATTAAGGGAGCGCATAAAAGTCGCTTCTTAGTCAGCCTGGGCTGGCAAGAGAGATGGAACAACTGAATCCACAGAGCATTCTGGTGACCGGTTCCAATCGGGGACTTGGCTTGGAGCTGGTCAAGCAGCTGGCAGGGAAGAGCAACCCTCCAAAATGGATCTTTGCCACTTGCTGGGACTCAGCCGGATCTGGTGCTCAGGTGAGGCCCGAGGTGCCTTCAGCCCTTGGTGGGAAGAACAAAGATTTTTTTTTCTTTAACGGAAATTTGCTTGTCTCCTAGGAGGTGGTGACAGTGCAGGCAAGGTTAGAGATAAAGATATACCAGTTTATTAAATGAAGGCTAGTTATATTTAAAATGTATTTAGGATGCTTCTATTTTGCAGAATTCGGGAGAGGCAAATAATGGGAGACGAATTTCTCCAATCAATGGATTGGAAGATACGTGCAATGGCTGCATCTTTGCAAATGTTAAGAACCTGTGTCAGATTTCATCACCTTTTGTTTTTAATTCTTATCCCATTTCAAATAAACCATTTGCAAAATGTGCTGCTCCAGGCTAAGTTTGTGGATTTTTTTTCCCTTTCAGGATCTGAAGAATTTGGCTGCTGAACATCCACAAATTGTCATCATCACATTGGGTATGTGTTTACTGAAAATCCCCTTGGCTGTTTAGCTGAGTTAGTAGTGTGATATTACTAGATCATGTTAAGGAAGCATTAATTCCCTCAGAGCAGATAAACGTTGCCTTGCCTTACCATTGGTGCAGGTAGTCCTTGACTTGTAACCACAATTGATCCAATGGTGGGATTCAAATTTTTTGACCATCGGTTCTGTGGGTGTGGCTTGGTGGGCGGTGGCAGGGGAAGGATACTATAAAATCTCCAGTCGGAGGTGGGATTTGCTGGTTCTCCAAACTACTCAAAATTTCCGCTACCGGTTGTCCAGAACTGGTCAGAACCTGCTGAATAGCACCTCTGAATTGAACCCAACATATCTGTTGTTAAGTGAGACATTTGTTAAGTGAGTTTTGCCCCATTTTACTACCATTCTTGCCCCAGTTGTTAAGACTAGCAGTACCAATCAGCTTTTGCCTTAGCGGGGATATTATGTGCAACATTTTATTAATACAAGGTTGGAACCATTGTGGTTTTAGCCATTCAGTCTCATCTGAGTCACATAACTCTCTGAACAACATATCTGTACCCCCTACTTCATGTAAAGTCCTCACATCATCAGTTAAGTCATTTAATCTTCTTTGCTTCTGCCTCCTACGTTGCTGCTCACGTTTCTCCCTACGATGCTGCCTAGGATCAAGCCAACCTTCTTCCTCTTGACTCCCTGTCAGGGGCTGCTCCGATATGCCTTCCTCCTGATTAATCTCAGGCTGTTCCTCTTGGTTGTTTGATGAAACCTGAGGCATCATCAGGGAGGAAGGCATTGCCAGAGAGGAAGGTCCTGGGGAGGAAGGCATTCCCAGTTCCTCCTCCTCATCTTCCGAGTCCTCTTCCTCTAACAGCACAGGCTCGGGAATCGGAGCCACAACACATACGTCTGTGTTAACTAAGTGATGTAACATTAAAATTGAAGGAAGGAGAAAAAGTGGATATCAGACATAGAAGTAAATTTTCCTGGTGATAAGATAGGCAACTTTCTGTACGCCCTCCATGGTCTACATAAACCATTTATGGATGTATTCTTCAACACTAACTTAAACCAGATCAGCTGGCACACCAGAGTGGGTTTCTCAGCAGAACCTGGCTTAAATAAGCCATGGCTTCATGCAAGGTTTCCTCTTGGCTACATAAATTCCTTATTGGATTCCCATCAATGAACGTTTCAAAAATGATCAAACAAGCACTTTTCTTGGCAGTAATGAGACTAAACATCATCATCCTATTTTAACACCCCCATAATCCCTTGTAGGAAGGAATGTTTACTGGCCGGATGCCTCTCCTGTCACCAGTGTGGAGTTTTTTCCTCAGCAGATACATTCCCAGTGTGCCAGAGAGAGAAATATCTGCCTCCACCTATGATTGAACTCACAGCCTCCTGATTATTACCACTCAGTAATAAAATTAATCTCCCCTTTTAAAAAAATTCAGCAAAATATCAAGGAATTCAGTAGGACCGAACTGGGGTACAAAGCCAGATATGGGATAATGCATATTTATTTTTCATCCTGTAGACACAAATGATCCATGCAGCATTAAGGCTGCTGCAGCCAAAGTCACAGAACATCTCAAGGGGGCCGGATTGAACCTGCTGGTTAACAATGCAGGGATTTTAAAACTGAGCACAGTAGAGACAGAAACACCCGAAAACATGTCGGACGTATACAAAACCAATGTCATTGGGCCCATGATCGTCAGTCAGGTAAGGATAATATATTGTCCTTTTATGGGGGAAAATCGGCTACTTGGATGGATGGATTCTGCAGAACAGCTATTAGATAGTTTGGATTTTGTCCTGGACTAAGGAAAACTCCTACCTCACACAATTGTGAGGTTAAAAAGCTAAACCAGGAGCCCCTAAACAGGGCATAAACACATGATTTTTTTTTTCAAAAGAATTGCCTCATAATTGCACAATCAAGAGATATCTGATAGGCTATGGATATAGTGAGGATGAAAAGATCGGGTTGGTTGGAACAGAGATGAAGGTGGGGTGGATCTGTTCGATTTCTTCTGACATTTATCGGGGAGCCTCTGCATCTTTGCATTGTGGATTTTCATTGGTTAAGAGATATGTTGGTGCCCTTCATTTGTCTGTGTTTTTTCCCCCCCTTCCCTCCTCCAGGCCTTCCTTCCCTTGCTAAGGAAAGCATCCCAAAAAAGCCCTCAGAAAGGCATGAGCTGCAGCAAAGCAGCGATCCTCAACATAACTAGCGAGTGTGGCTCCATGACAAACCTCTTTGCCTGGCATATGAATGAGCTGATCTCTTATCGTTGCAGCAAGGTAGGCACAAGCTAGCGGAAAAGGGCTTTTGTTATGATTAGTGTTAAGGGTAAGAATTTCAATTTTACCTTCAGTTACAGGCGATCCTGGACATGTGAATACCACGGAGCCAGGGTAAGATTCTACCGGTTCAGACCGGTTCAGGCGAACCGTTTTTTATGATTCTGCACAGTTCGGAGAACTGGCAAATCATGCCACTGGTTGGCCCTGCCCTGCCCGCTCCTCCTTGCCCTGCCCCATCACTCCTTATCTTGCCCGTGTGCCATCGCTGTGTGCAGCCTGCCTTTGCCCGCCCGCCCGCCGTCACTGCCTGCCTTCCGCTGCAGCCCTACCTGATCTGATCTCCCTGGGTGAGTGAGGCTCTGCAAGCTCCAGTTGCCTACCTGCCACCACTGCTGCCAGTCCTGGTTGAGTCCTGACTCCCAGGCCACTTGGCCGTCATCTTCGCCCGCCCGCCATTGCTGCCTGCCTTCACGATCGGTGAGTCAGGCTCTGCAAACAAGCCCCAGTTGCGTATCTGTCACTGCTGCTCACCTTTCCCCCCTGCTCGCCTTTTGCTGCCATTGCCATTAGCCGTTCACCTCCCTCCCGCTTGCCTTTTGCCGTTGCCGTCGAGAACAGGTCGCCACAGAACACGTGGAGAGGCTTCATGGGGTCTCTGGGTCAGCAGCTGCTTCTCTGCCTTGCTGCTCTAGCTGGGAGAGCGAGAGAGTCTTTCGCGGCACAGCAAAATTTAGCTTTGGGTCCCGCAAGTCCCGCTCTCATCGGGAAACGGCTCCAGGTGGCAGAGAAGCAGACAGGTTGAATCCTTTTCCTTTCTGCTGCCCGGAGCCATTTCCCGATGAGAGCGGGACTTGCGGGACCCAAAGCTAAATTTTGCTGTGCCGCGAAAGACTCTCTCTCTCTCCCAGCTAGAGAAGCAAGGCAGAGAAAACAGGTCACTGGAGAATACGTGGAGCCACTGCTTTTGCCAGGAGAACGAGGGAGTGTTTTAGCAAGGCGCCCCTGGATCAAGTCCAGAACAGCTGGTTGGCAGCTGTGGGAAGCAGAGCCTGGAAGCCCCGATTCACCACATGGGCAGCCGCAGGGGCGAACAGCAGTGGGGAGAGCTGGTTCAGGCCATTAAGTGAGGACCACGTGTATTTGGTTTGACAGTCACGTGGCCACCTGCCCTGCCCACCCCAGTCACATTGCCACCTAGCCACGCCCACCAACCAAGCCATGCCCACCAACTAAGCCACGCCCACAGAACCGAGTGTTAAAAAAATTGAATCCCACCACTGGCCACGAGGAAGGAAAACTCACATTAGCAACTTAGAGTTTTGCCTTCTATTTTAGTTTTTTTATTTTATTTGGTTTGTCAATTGCTTACAAGATAATAGGTATAAGTAAAAACATAGTTATGAATACATGGATACATATAAGAAAAATAAAAAAAAAATTAAAAGAAAAATAGGACAGGGATGGTAGGCACGTTTGTGCGCTTATGCACGACTCCTACAAACCTCTTAGGAAAGGGGTGAGGTCAATAGTAGACAGTCTAAGGTTAAAGTTTTTGGGGTTTGGGGAAAAAACCACAGAGTCAGGTAGAGTATTCCAAACATTGACCACTCTGTTGCTGAAGTCGTATTTCCTGCAATCAAGTTTGGGGCAGTTAACCTTGAGTTTGTATCTATTGTTTGCTCTTGTATTGTTATGGTTGAAGCTGAAGTATTCATTGACAGGTAGGACATTGCAATGTATGATTTTATATACCATACTTAGATCAGACTGAAGACAGCGTAATTCAAGGTTTTCTAGGTCTAGAATTTCAAGTCTGGTGACATAAGGTATTCTACAACGAGTAGCGGAGTGGAGAACTCTTCTTGTGAAATATTTCTGGACTTTCTCAACTGTGTTAATATCAGATACGTAATGTGGGTTCCAGACTAATGAGCTGCATTCAAATATTGGTCTAGCAAAAGTTTTGTATGCTCTAGTTAGTAGTGTAATATTACCAGAGAAAAAGCTACGTAAGATTAGGTTAACAACTCTTAATGCCTTTTTGGCTATGCAGTTACAGTGGGCTCTAGCATTTAGATCATTAGAGATGAGTACTCCAAGGTCCTTGACAGAGTTTGGATCATCAACAAGTTCTTGACTATTCAGCCTGTATTTTATTTTCTGATTTTTTTTTGCCAATATGTAAGACAGAGCATTTGTTTGTTGAGATTTGAAGTTGCCATTTGCTTGACCATTATGATACATAGTCGAGGTCTTTTTGAAGGGTAGCAGTATTGTCTGTCGTGTTGAATAGCTTTACATCATCAGCGAAGAGGACGCAGTTGTTCTTAATATGATCACAGAGGTCATTTATGTTAGAGTATGAAGAGAGTTGGTCCTAGAACACTGTCTTGGGGGACACCACAGTTGACAGGTACAGAATTTGATAGGACGTTCCCAATTTTGACCATTTGTTGTCTGTTTGACAGAAATGCTTCTATCCAGTTATGCAGGTGTCCAGAGATACCATAAGATTTTAGTTTTAGGAGAGGTTTGTCGTATACCACTGAATCAAAGGCTTTACAGAAATCTATGTAGATTGCATCTATTGCTTTGCCCTGATCGAGTTGTGTAGTCCATATGTTTTTGCAGTGTAAGAGTTGCAGATTACAGGATAGTTTTTTTCTGAAACCAAATTGTTTATTAGAGAGTAGGTTGTTTGTCTCTAAGTGGGGTATGATGGAGTGGCTAATAATTGATTCCATGACTTTACAGGTGACGCAGCATAAGGAGATTGGTCTGTAATTTTCAACTAGGCTGGGGTCTCCCTTTTTGAAGATGGGGATGACCGTGGCTTGTGACCGTAGTTTTGGCAAGGAGCTTCTGTCAGTGTATGTGGAGGCGAGAGACTGGATGCAATTCAACCATGTGTTTTTTGCAAGAAACAAGCAATAACCAATTTGTTGTTTCTAAGGAGAGGTCCTGGCCCACAGTAAGACCTTTCTGAACTCCCACATTCCAAAGCAGAACATGAAAAGATATAAACCGTTTGCATGTTTTCCCTTCTGAAGAATTGAGAAAATAGTGCAACAAATAGAGCAATGAGTGTCTTAAACTTGATATAAACGTCAGGCACACTTATTATTTGTAAAACTTCCTGGCACAAGATGCTCACACTGTAAACCTCTCAAAGAGCGTTGTAAGCAAAGTACTATGGAGCAGTGTATAAATCTTAAGTGCTATTGTAATTCGTAGATAGTAGGAAAGTTTTCTTAAGATAAAAGCAAAATATTGGAAATTTTCTATAAATTGTCATAGCTTACAGGTGTGAAAATTCTTCCCCCTCCCTCCTCCCTCCCTCCCTCCTGCCAATGAGGAGATGGTCAACTCAATAAGCAGAACTTTGAGGGTGCTGAAAATACTCCGGGGTGTCTATCAAAAAATATGAGGTTAGGAGGAACCTTAAGCTTTCCGGGTGTAATACCTTTCATCAAACACGGACAGAGAAGGTCTACTTAGTAGGTTCCGCTAAGGTCCTGAAAAAACGTTCCTTCTGTCAATCAATATGGAGCCACTGCCAACAGGATGGAGGGAGGGGAAGAAGTGAGTCATACCTGGGAGGAACGAGTGGGAGGAGATGATAGCATATCTTTACCGATACGTTAATGTTCTTATCTTTTGCAGGCCTTTGTGGGGTGTTCAACATATTGACCAAGGCAGACTTTCAGTTATAGAAGCTACCCGTGAAAGGGCTGGCATCCCTGAATCCTCAGATGAACCACTCATTGATTTCCTCCTTCTTTTGTCTCCTTCTCAGTCTGCTCTGAACATGCTGACTCGATGCCAGTCCATGCACTTTGCCAAAGATGAGATCCTGTGCGTTACATTGCACCCTGGGTGGGTGCAGACTGACATGGGAAACAAACTGGTAAATGAACTGGAGAGAAAAAACACAAGCTCCGTATAACAATCAGAAAACAAGTGTGGGCAAGATTCATCGGATTAGGAGTGGAATCTTCTGAAGATTTCTGAAATGTTTTGTTCCCGCTGGATCACGCCATACCACCTGCTGTTTCTCCTGG